TGAAAAACAAAAACTTTCCGGAGGCAGCATCACGCGTAGCATTAGTGCTTTAGTTGTTAACCTAATAATAAAAGGCTTCTCATCGGATCCGTTTCCAATTACCAGTTGTCCTTCGCGGTCATACTCCCATCCAAACTCAAACGCCTGAGTCATTTCTTCGCCTCCATTGTACGCGTGAGCGTGAATCCATGATCTGAGTTCTTCCAGACGATCGTGGTTATCTAGATAGGTTCTAGAATAACAATTCGCAAAATTCTGAACGGTTTGTAGAGGTGGCAGATCTGCAAATGAAGTCGAGAACTCCCGGGAAAGCGCCAATCGGATTCGCAGTGCCCTCAAATGCTGGTCCATCAACTCGCGATAGAACTCCTTCTGTGTAGACGTGAGCTTCTTTTTGTAGGGGCGGCCGCAGAAGATAGATGTTCATTGTACTCGTAAATACAAGCCGTTTGGGGCTCAGGCAGGTCACCACCTTGCCTCGCCACAGGCATTAATGTTCGCTAGCCTCAGCGCATGTCTCCGAGCTGCACTCGAGAAGACGGTAACGCATTTTGTGCTCGGAGTCAACGCACACCCTGCACGTGAGTGTGTTATTCTTAGTGATATCGAAGGCTTTTAGTTCATCTAGTACCGCGGCCTCGGCTTCGTCGACGTGGAGCGCGGTGTCTCTCCACGCGATACGTTTCGGCATGTTTGCTCGGGTTCCACGCGGCTGAATGGCCGCCGTCAATCACTGCACAAACTGTTACGTGAGACACCCGCTTACAGCGGGTGCTGGTTGGCTAAAAAGGTCTGTGCCGTCCCCGTTTGTGCGGATCTGCAGAGACTGAGCAAATTACCGACTATGATACACAAGCAATTCAAAATTATCAACCGCTTCCTGGGTTTATGGTCCTTCCAAAACGCCGTGATGAACGCTCCCTCATCCTTGATTGTGGAGTGCGCGAGTCGTGTACGCTAGACAACAAAGTATATATAGGCTGGATTTGCTTGGGTAGTCG